TGTACTGCAGTGTCCTCAGCCATCTTACAAACATGAATTAGAAGTTTCTCCTCTAAGACGTATACTTACTGCTTAAGTAAATATTGGCTCTAATTCTGGAATTTCTTTACTTAAACTCTGTCTTATGGGCTTAGTGCATTTGAAAGTCTCTCTGTTGCTCGTCTTTGGAGAGAGCCGGTGTCTACTCAGTCTTTCTTTTCTCCCCCTCACCCTTTCTTTGCTGCAGATCTACCCTGTGATTTTTCAAAAGACTTGCATGAGTCACTCCTTGACCAAAATCCAGTACAAGGAAAAAGGTTAGGCTTGGAGTAGATTAATTTGCCAATTAGAGGTTTATCTTCTTGTGAGGCCTGGGGAGGGAGCCAGCTCCAGTTGAAGCAGTCAGATGGAAGTTTGCTTCCAACCAGAGTTTTTCTTTTAGGTCTTTGGTGTGGCATTCACTAATTAGCATAGCCATTGTCATCTGGCATGGCTGGCCCCCTCAGCAGCCAGCTAGTGGCATTCTTCTCTCACAGTTTTCTGGTGAAATCTTTATAGCCTATGTAAAACAGGAGTAAGGCAGCCAGAGCTGACTTGCTTAGTTGGCTTCTGGAGGCAGAGGCTCTCTTGAAAAAGTTAGTGTGTTTCAAATGCGCCCCAGCTCTCCCAGGCCTAGCACCCTCCCACTGCTGAACACACTTCCAGGTCTGCTAGATTCTCGCTTGCTTATTTTCTGTATGTGCACTTGGAACTTGCAGTTTCTCGTGAACAGGGTGTGGTGCCTTAGCTCATCGTGGACCATCCACATCTATTCTCTCCAGCACATGTTTATGGAGGTATAGGCAATGGTTTCTGCAGTTTCTAGTACTGATTCCTAAGGTTTCTACCATCATCAGTCCATCTGGTAATCTATCACAAGGGATGAACCTGTGTGTATTACTTATCAGAAAATTTTAGTTTCCCCCTAAAATGATACTTAATTGCTCGTGATCCTTGATACTCCATTTCAATTTGTATATTTTTTCTATTCCTTGGATGAGAGTCTAGATACAGTTTTCCACTTTGCTTTCTTATACCATAAGTAGCTTCCATTTCATTCCTTACTGTTTATATTCATATTCCCTTTGTAAATTAAAAAATTTATTTTGTGTTTGTGATGCATAGGTGAATATGTGTTCATGTGTGTGTGTCACTTGTATTTGCATGCATGCCATAGCCAGAGGGTAACTTGCTGTGTTGGCTTCTGGAGGCCAGATTGTCGCGTCCCACCTCGTCTAGCAAGGAATGATGCGACCACCGGAGCTCTTCTCACTGCAGTTTATTCCAGGACTTTATTCACAGCAATCTCTTTTCTTTTCTCTCTCCTCTCTCTTTCCTTCCTCTCTTTTCCCTCTCTCCCTCTCTCTTTGACCTCTCTCCTTGGGCAAACCCTCTCCCAGCCCTTAAGTAGGCATGGGCTGCCAACCTCGAACTGCCAGGTGGGCACTGCCCATAGGTTCATGCATATGCAGGCAGCTGATAATCATTGCGTGATCATAGCATAGGTCAGGCCTTAGCCATCTCAGGAGTTGATTATACATCTCCATCAGGTGTGACACCATGCAGCTCGCTACACCAGATGTCTTTCTCAATGGCTTAACACCTCATTTCTTTATAGGTGGAGTTTTCATGAGACAGTGGCCACTCCCAAATAATCATTCAGAAACTTAATATTAATTGTAAATGCTCAGTCAATAGTTCAGGCTTATTACTAAGTAGCTCTTAAAACTTAAATTAATCCATTTCTATTAATCTATATATTGCCATGTGGCTTGTGGCTTTACCTGTTCTCCAGCATGTTTTTCTCCCTCTGCATCTCCTGGCATCTCTAGACTCTGCCCTTCTTTTCCCAAGCATTCTCAGTTTAGTTCTCCTGCCTAACTTTATCCTGTTCAGCTATTGGTCTTCTTTATTAAACCAATCACAGTGACCTCTATTCACACAGTATAAAGGAATAGTCCACATTTCTTCAGATGAGGAGCTCAACCCTTTAGCTAGACTATTTGAAAAGTACACCCAGAGAACCTCCCATCTCTTCTTCCCCAGAACTGGGATCATAGGATTCTTCCCCCCTCCTCTCTCTATATATTTGTATACGTATGCGTACATGTGCCTATGCCTGTGGAACCAGAGGATAATCTTGGGTGTCAACCTGAGGAATAATGTCTACCTCCTCGGAGACAGAGCTGACACAGGGTCTCTCATTGATCCATCAGTCACTGATTAGGCTGGACAGTCTGTGAACCCCAGAGACCCTCCTGTCTGCACCTCCCCAGTCCCTGGCCCACAGACACATGCTACCACACCTAGAGTTTTGTGTGGATGCTGGGGCTCAAACTCGTGTCCTCATGCCTGCAAGGCAACCACTTTACTGAATGAGCTACCTGCCCAGTCCACCAGTACTCTTTCAGTTGGAGGGTTGGCCTGTAGAAAGAACCTGGGCCCTGGCATCAGGCCGGTCCTGCTCCAGGTCTTGGAGCTCTCCTGGCTTTGTGACTGTGACTGGGTCATGTGACCTTTTTGGAGTCTTAGAAGTCTGGCGACATGAGCTAATTGCATCTAACTGAGACCATGCGGAATGACCGTTACTGAGCTTGGTGTGCAGAGGGCTTTCCTTGACTCCTGGCCCCCCTCTCTTTTCTCTTGTTGTTAGTAATGATGACATATGACAGCTTGGTTTTGGGGGTGGGGGTTTATCCTTTTATTGTTATAGACAAGGTGCTTGTATTCCCCTCTGGGCAGTCTTTGTACGGTGGCAACTGAAGTTACCTTGAGCTAAAACGAAATGGACTAGATTATACAGTATGACTCTTCTAGAATAGAATCCCACTTACTGGCTTTTTGTTGTTATCATCATGCAATTTTTGTCTTCATTTATGAATATGGTAAGATGATATGAATTATAAATGCACAAGGAAAATAGAGAAATAAAAGTAGGGGTGAGCACAAGGTCATGTATTGCCATGGGTCCTATAATTTTCCTAGGGTAGAACCCACACTCTAGAAGCTGTTGTAAAAAAAGCCATTGCCCCTTCCCCTGGGCCTTTCATTTAAATTATCAATGTCCTTTTCTTTCTTCTAAGAGTAGAGCTGAGGAAGATGTCAGCATTGGCTCAGGATAGCTGTGGCATCCCATGTTGACGCTGGTCCAGGACAGCTTTCGAAGCTTGCTTGCTGTGCTTTTGTTCATAAAACGATTGTCCTTCATTTAGAATCAGTAAAAGCTGATATGAGTCAAACTGTGGTGTGAAGGCATAATACTTATGCAAGAATAAAAATGAAAACTTGCAGGCCGTGGGAGGTGCTGTGTGACCGGGGCATTTCTACAGAGGCTCAGCAGCCTGGAGCCAGTAGCACAGCACACTGTGGGATCAAAGGACTGGGATTAACTGTCCAGCTTCTCTGTTCCCACTGCACAAGGCTCAGATTGTTTGACCCTTGGTTTGTGACTTTTATTATTAAGGAAGCTGTCATTCTCCAAGAGCTGAACAATAGTCAGGCATCTCCTCGTATCCTGATGAAGTTAGAAAGTATGTTTGCAGCAGGGGCTCAGACCTATGTGCTTGTTTCCTTTAGGTGCTCAATGAATAAATCTGTCCTCTCTTCTCCCCTTTGCCTCTCTCCTCTCCCACCCTTCCCCTTCTATCAGTTTTTCCTTTTCTTCCTTCTCCAGTGCCCTTCTCCCCTTCGCCCATCCTCCCTCTTCCTTTCCCCCGTCTCTTCTATCCTTCATCTTTTCAACACCAAGGCCTTACTATATAGCCTAGGCTAGCTTAGAACTCTTGATCCCCTTCTTCTGCCCCAAGTGTTGAGATTAGAGGTGCGAACCATCATATGCCATCCTTGATCAATCTCTTTTGAGGGATTGCTAGGTGAGACGGAAGCTGCTGGAAGTGCAAGGTTTACTCAGAAGAAAGGAATGCTCATAACTTCTTCAGGTGAAAATTTTTCCTTTATGGACTAAATTGCAATGCTCATATGACATGATCATGGAAAATATCCCCCCCACACACCCATATTTTTAAGGCAGGGCCTCACTGTGTAACTTTAGGTGGCCTGGAACTCACTTTGTAGACCAGGATGGCCTTGAACTCACAAATATCTGCTTGCCTCTGCTTCTTGAGTACCGGGATTAAAGGTATGGGGTACTACCTCTGGCCAGTCTTTGGACAGAACCAAGGTCCTAGCTTACTGCTGGAACTTCAGCATTTTTTGTTTCCTTAGTGAACATACAAATGAGAAAAGTGTGGGTTTTACTTTGTGGTTGTTTAGCACCCTCTCCTTGAGAAAGTCAAAGGATTTAAGGAACTCCCTCTCTCTTACCTGTAAGCAGGAAGTCTGATTTGTGGAACCCCCACCTCCCTGAGTTCCTGATCCCTTCCATCACTTACTCATGTGATAGTGGGGTACTTGATCTTAAATCTTTAAAGTGTTCACCATGCTCTCTGAAGAAATGTAAATATGGAATCTCATCCCTTTCTTATGTCTTAACAAAAGTGTACAAGTCTCTAGACTCCATTCTCCAAGTCTCAGGGTTGTTTTTGGTTTTGTTTCCACAAAAGGGTAGGGAGAGCTAAGGCTGAATATTAGTCTTCCCTAACTGCTTGGTGGACCTTCTCTTACCCTTTGTATATAGATTATCAGATCTCAAAAGTAAATTTTAAGAAAGCATTATTTAATGACAAGGTAGCTTCTCCTCTTGGAACAGTCTTCATGTGTCCCCAACTTGATGCTGTCTCCCCAGGACATCTAGTGTGAGCAGATGGCATAGCAGTCATGCCTTTCGTTGGTAGATGGCACGGGAGGCATGCCTTTCATTGGTAGATCTACCTCAGCAGGCCCCTGTGTTCATTCAGCTGTTATTTGTTTTCTGTTTTTTTTTTTTTGAGGGAAGTGACTTTTGCTTCACCTTGCCGGTGACTCTTCCCTAGCCCATGTGAGTCCTCTCCTCCTCATTCTGGGCTTCCTTATGTTTTTTGCAGGCTTACAATTCCTCCTAGCATGACCCAGATCTGATCAGTCAACGCAAGCATTGTTTCCTGTGCCCGGCTCTGCAGTGCTGGGGCCTCCTCATTGCCCCAAACTAAGGCACTGTCATGGCGGCTGCCTCTACTTCCGTCCCTGTAATTTCACAGCCCCAGGTAAGTGATTTGACCTGGGAGATGTTTTGTTGTTGTTGTTAACGATGGTTTTGTGTAATAGTTAAACTGAGTTTTAAGGAAGCATACTTCAATGAATCAAGCACACCTCTCATTGTCACTTGCTGGGTACTTTGATGGGGTGCTTTGGAGAGAGAGATGCTGTGTAGTTCAGGAAGCAGCTAGAACTGACCTCTGTTCACAGGGGACAAGTTTACCACACTCAGGATGAGAATGCCCAATTGGTGCTCCTGCCATCAAAGCTCTGAAACAAGACACACCAGAAGAAGTGAATTCTGCTTCTCTTATTTCTACCTTCTTTTGGGGGGGAGGGTGGTACAAGTAATATTTCTCAGTTTGATCTAAGCCCTCCAAGACTTCTTCATTGGCCTTTTCCTGTAATTATTATTTTGCCTTGGCCCATTCTGGGAAACTTGAAAACAAAATGGAGTTCTAGAAACTTCTGAGCAGTCGTCTCAGTAAGTGCTTTGGCTGTACATGGGGAGCAGAAATTCTTCCAGGATGTCTTCTTTGTTTAGATTATGGTGTTACCTGCTGCTTTGAGTGTGCTAGTGTATTAGTCTCAGCAGGCAGCATAGTGCAATGGGAGGGAAAGAGACTTGGACTCATTAGGCCTTGGTTCATCTCCCTGTTCCTTGGACCGACGCCTCCTTGTCCCTCCCCAGCTTCAAACTCCACCTGTGTTATTATCCTTCACACAGTATTCCAGTGGAGAAAACAGTAGCTGGTATGCAAAGCACTCAAAAGTGTATAGTTTCTCATCTTCTCTCCCTTTCTTGTGACTCTTCTTTATCCTGTGTGGCTTCTCATTTATGACGTTCAATTTTAGGCAAAGGTTTAAGAAAAAAATGGGTACCTTTGAGCAAGAGGCATTTTAAATGCTTATATTTAGTACACAAAATACTGGGTTCCATTGTAACATTTTCATGTATCATTGTATTTTGCCCATTTTCCCTGACGCCTCTTTTGTTCTGCCGCTGTCCTCCCTCTTTCTGGTCTCCCCCACTCCATCCACACACCCCCCCCCTCTGTTTCCGTGCCATGCATATGGACTGTATTTGTTACTTTTTGCTGCTGTTCTAAAGCACCATGAACAAGGCAACTAAGAGAAGAGAGTGTTTATTTGGGCTTCTGGTTCCAAAGGTGTAAGAATCCATCATTGTCATGGAAACATAGCAGGCATCGCCTCTGGAGGAGCAAGCCCAGAGCTCACAGCTTGAAACATAAGCAGAAGCAGAGAATGATCTGGAAGTGGCTTGAGGATTTAACTCTTTAGGCCCACTTCCAGGGACATACATACTTCCTCCTGCAAATACATACCTCCTGAATCTCCCAAACAGTGCTACTAGATTGGGACCGAGTGTTCAAATGCATGAGCCTGGGGGACATTTTAACTCAAACCACCTTGTGGACATAGTTTTTAAATCTAGCTTCTGTATATGAAGAAGCCGGAAGTCTTTTGTCTTTCTTCCCCCATCACCCAGTCTTGATGGCACAGGACATTGTTTTACCCATTTGTTTTCTGTCTCATTTAGAAGCCTATTATATTTTGTACATATTTAAAATAAGGACATCTGGTTTTTGTTTTTGTTTTTTGTTTTTAAGAGGGAGTTGAGAAAGAAGGACGGGTCATTCTTCATTGCCTGTAGAACAGCAGTTCTCAACCTGTGGGCCGTGACCCTTAAGGGGAGTTAAATGACCTTTTCACAGGGATCTACTAAGACTATCAGAAAGCATAGATATTTACATTATGATTCGTAACAGTAGCACAATTACAGTTGTAAAGTAGCAATGGAAATAATTTTATGGTTGGGGGGTTATCACAACATGAGAAAGTATATTAAGGGGTCACAGCATTAGGAAGGTGAACAAATCTTTCTTGGAGGAATATCTTTGGATTGCCAACCTCCAAATAGCAACCCAGAGACTTATTTTTAATTGTGAAAGCTCAGTCTTAGCTTAGGCTTGGCCCACTAGCTCTTATAAATTAAATTAACCTGCTTCTTTTAATCGACATTTTACCATGTGGCTTTTATCTTTTGTTTTTTTGTATGTCCGACTCCCTCTGTGTTTTGTTGGTGTCTCCACCTTTCTTCCCAGAGTTCTCTCTGTCCCTGGAAGTCTTGCCTACTTCTTCCTGCCTAGTTATTGGCCATGCAGCTCTTTATTAAACCAATCAGAAGCTCCTTGGCAAAGACACTCTTCACAATATAAACAGATACTCTACCACAGGAAGGTTGAGAACTACTGCTACTGATTAACTGAGGGTTTTCCACCATGAATAAGTCCTTGTTGTTCTTTGACTTTTTCAGGAGTGTTTTGGGGGATGTTCGATGCTTGGTGTCATCTCCATCACGCCATTTCTCTTTTTCTAGCTGGTCCATCAAGGTTTCAACATTTGACTACTTGGGCGTCTTGCTTCTTTTAACCCCTGTGGATCTTTGGCACCATAGGGACTTAGAGAATGGATCAAGAGATTTAGTTTGTTTTACTTTAGGTTACCATTTCAAAGCCCAAGGCAGCTGTTCCTGAGAGTGACAATTCTTGGCCTTTTTTTGGGAAGTGAGTTAGGTCCTAGCATGGGCTTTCCTGACCAGACATTTCAGCATCTCTCACTGTCGTGTGTCAGCTTTTCCAATAACACTGGCTTACCCACCGTGCTCCCTGTTACATAAACTACTATGGTTTGGTGCGTAATATAAATGCTTTCAAGTGACTCATTCCATCAAAATGTCCAGTATTCTCCAAAGTAGAAGGGGATCCTATTTAATATAAACACTGAGGGAAAAAGATACTCTTGAAAACTTTCCGGGGCGGGGGGGGGGGGGTTAAATTGGCATAGCTACTTAAGTGGGTGGGTATTAATCAGTATTAGTCAGTATTAATAAATACTGATGAGGCAGTATTTGTTGAAGTCAGGTACCTTTGCAGTCATTCTGCTGTCTAAACACATAAGACCAAGGGAGAGTGTAAAAAGATAATCGCACCACGAACTTCAAAGTTCCTGATAGTCAGTTGTGGTTATTAATGAAGTTAGGTGTATGGGTATGATTTAAAGGGCACATAGCAATTAAAACAGACATTTCAGCATGCCTATGTTGTCATCAGACACCTTATAAAAGGAAAAGAAAGAAAGACATAGAATAATTCTCACGGGAAGAGATCATTAAAACTATAAAACAAGACCATGTGTTTTTAAGGACTAACATATGGCTCATAAACAGAACTGCAGAGGAGAAAGCCAGAACATACATTTTTCAATAAAATTCTGTTGCCCCCCAGAGGGCCCAAATTGGATCTGGGGAGATGATAAATACTTCCAAAGCTTAAGCCTACCCTAAAGAACCGTACTTTGTAGCGTGTGACTTCCTTCATTAGGGAGAATTGAAATTTAATTAAAGTTTTCTTCTTGAGGATCATTATTAAAAAATAAACAAAAATGGCATGAAACACCGTTTTTCGGAAGCATGCACATGGGCCCTGTAGCCACACTGCTTGAGCTCAGATCCTCGAGAGCCTGAGGGTGTGTGTTTACCTTCTCCCTGCCTCCATGCCCAGTTTGCAGAAGAAACAGAGCAGTAAAGAATTCAACCTTCTGGCATTGTTTGGAGAGTGTCATGTGCAGTTATGCATTCGACTCAGAACAATGGCTTGTGCATATTGTCCATGCACGTTGGCATGCATTGTTGTTACTGCTCCGCCACTGGACGTGCAATCTACGTGCAATGAGATAAATAAGGTTGTTGCCTTCCTCGAGTTGAGAAATGCGGTAGAAGATGGGCAGATAAGGAAACCACAAGTTAAAATGCTGGGTCACAATTACAGTGGCCCAGAAGTATGGCTCTTCTTAGAATTAGCACTTTGGCTTCTTGCAGAAAGACCCCAGACAAGGAGCCCGTGCATGGCTATGAGCTCTTTTGACAGGGGAGAAGAAAGAGCGTGTGCAAATGCCTGGTAGGCTATGGTGAGGAGAGCCACAGCCTTGGGATTAGTTCAGAGTGAGCACAGTGAGGTGGGGCATGGGTCTGTCCCGAGAGGCTCCTCCACTGGACCACAGATCTGACTGTTGGACTTTGAAGAATTCTGTGAAGGGCTCGGTACATAACTTAGTACTTAAGGGTGTGTATTGTTCTCTTAGAGGACCCGAGTTTGATTCCCAGCACTGCATCCGTACTAGGGGTTCATAGGTCTGTGACTCGGACTTCAGAGGATCCGGTGTTCTCTTTTGGCCTCCGAGGGCACCTGTACTCATGTGTGTAAATAAGCATACACACACACACACACACACACACACACACACACACACACACTTAAAGGTAAAATAAATCTTTTTTAAAAACCAAACCAAACCCAGCATTTGGTGAGCTGTTTGAAATCAGCCATGGTGTAGTATTTAAACTGCAGAAATTGGCAAAGTCTTAGTATTAGAGGGTTTACAGGATTTTGAAAGCCATATTAAGGCAATGAACAAACTCTTAATGAAGCCTGTGGTGGTAGAGTGCTTGGAGTCTTAGACCTTTGCTTGAACCCTGTCTTGACAATGTTCTTGAGAAATTCTATAGCAATGCCAACCACAGTAGGCAAGTCCCATTCTCAGCCCATGCTGGCCATACTGGTCATAGCAATGGTCTTTTGTATTTGGGAACCAAGACATTTGTGAGGAATTAGCTGCAAGCTGGGATGATTAGATCACAGAGCAAGGTGGTTTATTTCTCAGGAGAGATACAGACCTTTGAACCCCTGGCTCTAAGAGTCTGGCTCTAGGTCATGATGAGCCTCCTGATTATAGGCTGATTCTTCCTCCGGGCTTTGCAGCCAGGATCTCCATCAAGACAGGCTTTCCTGTGCATCTCAGCCTATACTGATGGCCGCTCCCCTATTAGCTGTTGTCTCCTGGTGCAGAGAAGGCTTGAATTATATGAAGGCAGCCTCTCTTTAGGTGGCACATAACGAGTAGCTTTGACAGAGCCATCACCTTACCC